AAATAAAAGTGAACTTTATTATTAGGCTTAATCCAAATTATTCCAAAGTGATTCAGCTAAAGTTGGAGTATTAAAATACAAGAATTGAGAACTATTTGATTACAAGAAATTTTTGTTTCAAAGAACTTGTACTAGGCATTAGAATACCTCTCAGATGGGATTATTGAGCTCACAAAACACTGACCAAACCAATTTGAGTACCAAGAACTAGTGTCTTTCCCCTACTGTTAGAAATTCTAGTCACATACAGTAAAGCAGAGACCAAGTTATTGACTTCTCCAGGAATTTTAGTATTTTAATTAATCATTTACTTTAACCTCTAATTATCAACATATCAATCAACTTGTTTTCAAATACTCTGTACTAGTTAGTTACAGATTACTTTGTACAAGGTGTATTGCCATCTGCATTACCTTATTCTCACTATTTTCATAGATTATATCTATTGTTTGTTCTCTACAACTCCATTCTCAGAAACTCATTCAAATCCTGAATGTTCTTGATTGTTAAAATTATTCATTTCTGTTTGTGATTAATTGCAACAAAGATTAGTATTAACAAAGACCTTAACAACGACCTGATGACAAGGTTTGAAATCATTCTCAAAATACACTTTATGCTCTGGATGACTATTATGTATAGAGAGTATGCTCTTAATTTTTCACTTCATCTAGATTAAATTACATTTTTTGTACCCAAAACATCTGTTTCCACATTGAATAGGTTGACTTATAGTAAAATTTAACATAGAAGAAATTGAGTGAAGTGACTTTTTTTATTTAGGCAAGGTTCCATTTCAGGTTTTATTGCAATGATAAATTGATTCAACTTAGTAAATTATGACAGACCATTAAAGGAATTCCTTTTTTCAATTAATGTTAAATACTACTACATAAATAAAATTAATTTGAATCACAGGTTATCATCACCATTTGATAAATGTTGTAGAGATCATTTGATTGGCTACATGCTTGTAAACAGTCTAAAATAAAAATAAACTTTTGTATTTTAAGGCAATCATTCAAAAATTTCTATATTTAAATAATAATATTTCAGATACTAAAAGAACTCTTTCAATTACTGTCTACTTGAAGAAAAATTATGAAATATAAACACTGTTGTTGAGATTATGGGATGATCTCAAATTTGTATTATGACCACTTACAATTGAGACCTTGTGGACAATTATTACATTTAGAAAGATGTTTTATTCAATAACATACTTCATGTGTTTGCTTAATCTAAATTTTGTTCTTAATGTTTTTATTGTTTTTGTGTAATGGCTTTAATCAATACAGTATTCTTCTGACAGCATGATTTTATAATTTTCTACTTATCTTCTCAATATGAAAAATTCCTTTAAATATTATCTACATATAGATGTTTCTCTAACATTATATTTGTAGCACTTACAGGTTTTTTTTAGTTTGTTCCAGCATTTAGATAGGTTTCAATATATATCGTATTTACTTGCATATAAGATGATCTTGCATATAAAACGAGGTGTGACTTTAAAGATCAAAATAAAAAAAATTAAATTTATTCATACAATTCTAATTTTATTTCATTTAATCACAAATAAAATATCAAATGCACATAAATGCACANTTTTATTGCAATGATAAATTGATTCAACTTAGTAAATTATGACAGATCATTAAAGGAATTCCTTTTTTCAATTAATGTTAAATACTACTACATAAATAAAATTAATTTGAATCACAGGTTATCATCACCATTTGATAAATGTTGTAGAGATCATTTGATTGGCTACATGCTTGTAAACAGTCTAAAATAAAAATAAACTTTTGTATTTTAAGGCAATCATTCAAAAATTTCTATATTTAAATAATAATATTTCAGATACTAAAAGAACTCTTTCAATTACTGTCTACTTGAAGAAAAATTATGAAATATAAACACTGTTGTTGAGATTATGGGATGATCTCAAATTTGTATTATGACCACTTACAATTGAGACCTTGTGGACAATTATTACATTTAGAAAGATGTTTTATTCAATAACATACTTCATGTGTTTGCTTAATCTAAATTTTGTTCTTAATGTTTTTATTGTTTTTGTGTAATGGCTTTAATCAATACAGTATTCTTCTGACAGCATGATTTTATAATTTTCTACTTATCTTCTCAATACGAAAAATTCCTTTAAATATTATCTACATATAGATGTTTCTCTAACATTATATTTGTAGCACTTATAGGTTTTTTTTAGTTTGTTCCAGCATTTAGATAGGTTTCAATATATATCGTATTTACTTGCATATAAGACGATCTTGCATATAAAACGAGGTGTGACTTTAAAGATCAAAATAAAAAAAATTAGATTTATTCATACAATTCTAATTTTATTTCGTTTAATCACAAATAAAATATCAAATGCACGTAAATGCACACATTGTTCCCTCAAAAATTACTAGCATTTTAAACTTTAAGGAAAAATCTTGTAAATTCTACATCATTTGTTGACATAAAGCTGCACAATTGGGAGCCCTTTTTTGCCAATTCTTAACAGTCAAATTCACTCTTCATCAATTAAACTTATGAGTTTCTCCAAATTCTGATTTCCAAATAATCATGTTTTTATGTCGGAATGAATTAAAACTTATATTGGGCTCCCGTGTAATTTTGGAATTCAATTCAAAAGTTTTGCTTTTGAATCTTGCTTTTCCTATTGCTATTCATCTTTAATCCTGACAATACATGAGAACAATTCAAATGACCCAGCTAAAATACTTTTGTTTTTAAACACCAGAAGGAGAGAATCCAATAAAATGCAAATACAGTACACAGTTTACAAAAATTATTGCAAAAACGAAAAGAATCCTTTGCTCATGCGTATAGGACAATCTAGGTTTTTGAAGCAGTGAAAAATGAATAAAAACCTCGTCTTACATGCAAGAAAATACGGTATTCATAATCTTTCCAAAATCTAATCAATATTTATTACAAAATACATTTGTATGTAATGAATCATAAGTGTTAAATTCCTTTTTATAATTTAAGGAATAAAATTTAATTATCAATTTCTGATATCATGGGGAATTAATTTTTGAGGGGAGAAAATGTAGTAGTAGATAATTTTGGCTAAAACTGTTACATTGTAGATTAATAGTCAGTTGCCACCATCACTCAGATATGTTAACAATACAGTTAAAAGCATATCAGATATTAGAGTTTAATATTGTGTAATATATAGGATTTTATTTTGATTTAAATCATAATTATTGAATATGATGATTTATTTCTAGTGCATTTCAAGAGTTTTATTTCTTATTTCAGAAAATATATCATTTATTGAATAAAATAATTGATAATTTTTTATTTATGGAAATTTGTCTATTTTAATAGGTTGTTGTTGGAATATTTTCAATTAATGAAGTATACAAATTTTCTGTAAAAAGTTATGTTGCATTTGTAATTATATTATCTTACGCTCTTGTATTCTGGATAATTCTTTCTTGCGGGGTGAGTATTTTTTCAATAATGTTTTTTTAATCTTAGAAATTGATTTTTAGTTGTAATACAAAATAATTTCACATTTTTTTTAAATGTAATTTTATGAACATATTGATGATTAAATTTTTAAAAAAAATGAAAATAAAATAGGAGTTAAAATTAAATTTTGAAATATATTTAGTCATTTTTTTTAAATAAGTAACTTTATTATATTAAGTTAATGAATTATTATGAATATACAACTGGGTTTATTATTTTTAATTATAACGATAGATAGATCAGGAAAACTGTTTTTGTAATACACATATATAAACATCCCAAAGCCTGATATTTCAGTAATATGCTAAACAATTGTTAGACTAAATGGGCTACTTTACTGCTATTATTTTTAATAGGATTTTAAATAATTTGGTACTAAGAGATGGGCATTAGGTGCCATTTCTTATTAAATTTAATAATTATAATTAAATTAATATTTATTAAATAATTTAGAATATTCTGAAAGAAAAGAATTGGTCTGTAGTGGGACTCGAACCTGCGACCTCGTTTACTGTATGGATGCATTGCCAGTTACACTTTCAGACTGCTATAAGATCTTCCCTTCCAGACATATTTAATTTAGATATAACCATCCTCTGTCACTTATAGCACTGACTTGGGATGACTTCAGTGCCCACATTGTGTAATCATCTACTATGGCACTCAGCAACCATTGCTTAACTCTGGCATGGTGTATATATACATAAATAATAATGGTAAAGTAATCCAATTTAATCTGACAATCATTTGGCATATTACTAAACTATCAGGATTTAGTATGTTTATATATCCTAAATGTATATACACCATGCCAGCTGAGTGCTTTAGTAACTATAGGATGTGGGCACTGGAATCATCCTCAGTTGGCACCATATATAACCAAAGATGGTTATACCTACCGTGTTTCCCTGAAAATAAGACAGTGTCTTATATTAATTTTTGCTCTGAAAAGTGCGCTAGGTCTTATTTTCAGGGAATGTCTTATTTTTTCCAGGAAGAATAATTCACATTTATTATTGAACAAAAAAATTCCCAAGTCGAACTTAGACGAGAGTGACGTATATCCGGTNTCAGACTGCTATAAGATCTTCCCTTCCAGACATATTTAATTTAGATATAACCATCCTCTGTCACTTATACACTGACTTTGGATGACTTCAGTGCCCACATCGTGTAATCATCTACTATGGCACTCAGCCAACCATTGCTTAACTCTGGCATGGTGTATATATACATAAATAATAATGGTAAAGTAATCCAATTTAATCTGGCAATCGTTTTGCATATTACTAAACTATCAGGATTTAGTATGTTTATATATATCCTAAATGTATATACACCATGCCAGCTGAGTGCTTTAGTAATTATAGGATGTGGGCACTGAAATCATCCTCAGTTGGCACCATAAATAACCAAAGATGGTTATATCTAAAGTTAAAAATAGTGGTAAAGTAGCCTGATTTAATTCAGCAATTGTTTGACATATTATAATTATTATTTTTATACATGATTTAACTTGTTATTTGGACAATTTTATTGTGTTTTGGTGAATGAAGTTGGCAGTTTTTTGAAGTAATTGGTGTCTGGAAAAAATCTATACTAATATCTCAGATTCTAGCTGACAGCCAGTAATTTTTAATTATGCTGCATGTGTTGTAATTAAGTGTTTAGAGTGCTGTAGAACATTCTAAAAATCCTAAATGTTTAGTCAACTGCATTATGAAAGCTATGCCTTGTGTTTAGGCTGAAATAAATCTCAGAACAAGTGTATTAATGAACATAGTTTTGTACTAGGCTGCATGAAAGCAATGAGTATTTTCATTTTTAAATTAAGTTTGTTTTATAAATTATGTTATTTCTGTTATACATATTGTATTTGTATTCTGTTAGTGATTATGTACAATGTATAATCACTTATCATACAAAAACTTTGTGAAGTTTAATTTTCATAAAGTTCAATATATTAGTGATTATTCATAATTTCAATTGTATATATTTTAATAGATTTTCTTGTTAGAGAAGTTAATTCTATGTTTATCATACTATAGACTTTATTTAGAAAATCAAATTATTCAATTACCATTTTCATAATTAATTTGGATTGGTCATAATATTGCTTTGTAATTTATAATCTATTTGCTTTTCTTCAACAAAAGAATTTTTCTGTCTTTATTTGTTTTATTTAGGAATTAATTTATGATAAATTTGAAATAATTATTTATATGTATATATTTACATATATATTTTTTTAATAGATCACACATGAGAAACCAGTTTTAGTGTACTTATTTGTATATGGAAGTATGGCACTGCCCGTATGGGTAACTTACAAAGTAACTTTTTTTCATTATATTTAACATTTTCTTTAATCAGTTTGTGAAATATTTTATTTAATTAAATAAATCACACTATTTTACAGTTCATGGCATTTAATTGCCTATCAAAGAATTGCACATCATATGAAGCATCATTGAATTATTCAGAACTTGGTTCTGGTAAGATTTAGTTTATTAAATAATTTATTATAATTTTTTAAAATACATGTAAAGATGTTAATTCTTAAATTTTTAATTATTAATAATCCAATGCACCAACATCAATTCAAATTGTACAATCTATTTAGTTAGTGAATTAATGGTAAAATAGTTTTATAGATGATTGATTCAAAGCATTTATGTTGATTTTTAAACTGAGACTTCAGTCCTCCATTTGAGCATAAAAGAAGAGTAAATTATAATTTTTATTTTTTAAAATCTTTTAAATAGATATGAAGTTGTAAGACTGTGTTAATTGTCAGATTAAATTATCATCTATTAGCTTTAAAAACAAATGATCCAATATGAATTTACATTCTTATAATTTAGAGATAAAACAAAAACTGAGAAAAAGTTAAATTTCATATATTTGGCATCTTAGCAGGAACCAGAGCTTACTACCTGTCTTAGACACTGTTCATTGAGTTTTAACAATGTAAAGAAAAGCTTCCATGCAGTATGCAATAGATAACAAAAAATTACATTTCATCTGCTGAAAAGCTAATGTTTGAACTTTAAAAAGAATAGTATTGTGAAAATGTTAACATCATACACTGTTTCATCAGTGAATTAAAATGTTTTTATATACAAATTATTGTTACATAAACTTTAATTGGACATTATTCTACAATATGTAGACTGTAGCATGAACTAAAGATTGGAAAAAAAGTTAAAATTAAAATTTATTTATTTTAATCAATAGGAAAATTTTGATTGTCAGTGAACTGTTTTGCTAATGTATTGAAAATTGAAATAGCTGTACTTTGTTCTGCTATGATGTAATATTATTCAAGTGATAAATTTATTTTGAATAAATATATATTAAATTTTTAATAATTTTCAGAATTACTTTTTTTAATTCTTAATGTTTTTGTTTTAAAATTATTCTTAGTGTCAGTTAAAATATATTTATTATCCTATAATCTTCCAGGCATTATTTCTATTCTATCAAGATTTTATGTCTTAGTTAAATTGCTAGATGTCTTCAGAAATTTTGGTTGTGGATTATCAGACAGAGGTAAGAAAAAGAATTTTTTTGAAAGTTTATATTTTCATTTCAAATATATCTCGGTAAAACTTATGTAATTTATGTAACCTACTCATATAATACAAGGAACTATTGTTAAAGCAAATTTTGTGTTAACTATAAAATGAGACAAAATTAGACTTTATTTTAGCATTAAAATATAGTGTGTTCATCTGCCTTAAAACAATCCATACTTACAATGTTCTAAACTGCTATTTCCTCAGACATCTGGCCAGCCCCATAAAGGTATCAGCCTGCTGACCCTGGGACCTGGGATTGAATCTAGGCAGAGCACTCAAAAATTTTTCATTTTTAGTCTCATCAGTAATTGCACATACCAATAAAACTGTGTGACAGTTATTTTTAAATGTAATATTGTTGTTAGGGTTTGGCAAATCTATTTTTGAGATTTAAGAAGTCAAGTCTAGATTTCAATCTGTTTAAATACTATGTATTTGTTTGCTTTTATTGAACTTTGATGTTTGAATGTATCATAGAGACTAAAGAATCTAATATAATTTTAACAAGGTTCAAATTAAAATATTTTTCTTACTTTTTATTTAGGCCTATACATTGAGATTTTATACAATTAACTAATTAAAATTCATATCCTGTTTTGCATATGCATATCCTCTTTAATTTAATCACTAAATTATTATTGTCGGTGACAATACAGTTTAATAAAACAACTTATTACTGAATTACTGGAAAGTATAATACACCTCAATAACCTTTATAGACCAGTAACAACATTACAAAGCCAGTCTAATAGGCAACTGCATTAATTCAAAGGATTCCATTAAGGTCTCCTATTCATGGAGGTATTGTTATGAAAAAACAGGCAACACTAGCATTTAGCATCTTTGCTATACCTTTGTTTATATCTTAATTATTGTTTATGGTATAGAGATATTTCTATCACTATGGTAACATGCACAGCTAAAAGTTATCTACACACATTTAAATTGTTCTGCAGTTTTAAATAATTTTTAAACTTGTTGTTCCATTCATTCCATGTTTGAATCTTACTAGTTAAAAAAAACCTGATGACAACTCTGGTTTACGGTCAAAAACGTTACTTTTCATTAAATGTTCGTTGTTACTGGTCTATAAAAGTTATTGAGGACAATGCTGTTTCGTAACTGTCTCAAATGTGTTTAAAATGAATCACTATTATCTTAAACAGAAATAAATTAATTAAATATTTAGAAAATTTACTGTATATATGCATAGATAGATTAAAAAATATATTGTTTAACATAGTTTGTTTTTTTGACTTTCTTCCTTGTTGCACTAAAAGGACAAAGGCCAGGCCCAGGGTTGGCTATGTGAGGAACAGGCTCCAACTTATGCAGGGCAGATCACACATGAAAAATTCCTAGGGAATTGATTGTCCCAGACTAGAACCTAAGTCTCCAGAGTGGTAGGATTACACCTTAACTGCCTCAGTCATTTGGCTGTCAAGCTCCTTCTGACTTTGGAATTCTTTCAGGCATCTCAAACTTTTGATTTCATTGGCATTTTCTATTTTTATCAAATCTTTAAATAAACAAATATAACATGAGTATGCATATTTTGAAACAGTGTTAGCAGACTTGTGAAAAACCATTTTTCTGAATCAGCATACAATATTTTTTTTTGATTCAGGCTATTTTCAACTTTTTTAGTACAGTACGTCTCAAATCAACTTAATAGCCTTACACAACAAAATTTTTATGTCCAGTATTGTAGATATGATGATACAACTGCAAGTTACTAACTACATTTGTATCCTTACATCTTTAATAATTCTTTGACAATCAATGACCAATGATTTCTATTTAATGCTGTTAAAATATACAAAGTTTGGATTCGGCCTTATCAAGTTTTATATCAAGTCAGAGTAAATGAAAGGACTCTACGAGTCCGAGTACTCGGACCTGAAAAACACTAACTGTTGTAAAGGGCTTTAAATGCTCTAAGTAACAATAGCTTGTAGTTAAACATGGCTAAACTTATAATTTAGGGATCAGATTCTCAAATGTTTTTTAACATAAAACATAATATCTATGATATGATATTGTAAAATTACTAGAAACTTGCCTTTATATAATATCCATTCTATATGTTTTATGAATAAAATATGATATCTTAGTATTCATGACAAAGCAAAATATCTGAAAACATAAGTGGTCATTAAGTTTTAATATAGCCAATCAGTTTGCTTCTCACATGTTTGCATTGTTTGAAAAAAGAGTAATTGATTTCTATTTTAAACCTGATTTTTATTCAACTGAACTAAATAAAGGTGATAGAAGGCCAAGTGTTTGAATTTATTACACTACATAGTGTTTAAGAATCAAAGATTTTTATTTTGTTAGAATTAAAATGTTTCATAGATGAGGTTGGAAGAATAAAGTTGATATAAAGCAACTGTAAGACCCAGATGGTGTAGAATGAAAATTATGAAATAGTCACAATTATTGAACGGTATCAACTTAGTTAAGTTTGAAAGAAAAAAAGTTAATTTCAGCTGGATTATAATATTTCTATCAATTTTTACAGCATTTTGATGTGTGTTAAAATATTTGATTTGAACTTTAACAAATACTAATCCTATATGATATTATTTTATATAAGTCAAGAATTTAGTTGTTGTAGATAATCTTATCTAATAGTTACTATGCTCTGCCTTAATATTTGATTACAACATATACATATATATTACTTATATGGTGTTATAAAAGTGTTTTATATCCTTGGGAAACTTACTACTATTATTATTATTACTTTTATGCTTGACTGGAATGTCTGGGAATGATATCCAATTGTACCTGTATTAATGCTGGAAGAGAATATGCTGCATGTAATCTACCATAATTCTGACATGAATCCTCTTTTGATTGAGAGAAACTTTGAATTCTGTTTTATTTTAGTACAGTAGTCCCGCTAGTCTGAACTAATTGGGACCAAGCCCTGTTCGAATTAACAGATTTTCAGATTATCCGAATAATTGAAATAATGCGGAAACAGTAAAACAGGTCCAGTTTATATAGATCCAACACCACCAATGACTTTTGTTTCTCTTTTTGTGTGTAAGTACAGTATAGATCTGCTGTTTTAATAGGCCATGTCAAACACTGATTTATTAATTTTGTACAGTATTAAATACAGTACTATAATAAAATACAATTTTTTTTGTTGTGGAATTTTAAATCTTTTTGTACTGTTAATACTATTTAAATTCAACTGGAAAATACAAAAAATGTATATTTTGCAAGCTAAAAAATTTCCTATTCACCAATTGAAACATGTTTGGATTAGCAGTGTTCAGACAAGCAGGACTCTATTGTAGCTGTTTCTGTTATAATGGTTTTTCTATACTATTATAACCAGTTCATATATATAAGAATATTAAATACATAGTTTTTATATTATGCGAGTTTATGGAAATAGTTTAAATTTATTGTTTGATATTTTTATAATTATATGAGAAGAATTTTAGTGCTTCTTGTAGATGATTGTATTTATGCATCATACATTTTTTGGACTTTGCATGAAAGCTTGTTTTAATTTTCTAATATCCAAATACCTGTAAGCTGGATATTCAGGCTAATAATTTAGTTGATTAAACTAACTTTCCTAACAGTAAGCAGATAGACCACCATCTTGTGATACATGATTAGATTAATAATTAACATTAAATTAACTCAAAAATAACATATTGTTTGCCCTACAATCATTGCTCGTTTGTTCTTGATGTATTAGAAATAAGATAATGCAATTCAATACTTTGGTTCCACAAAATTTAATAATTTAAAACTTCATTATAAATCAGGTTGAAGCATCTGAGTCATTTGGCTGTCAAGCTCCTTCTGACTTTGGAATTCTTTCAGGCATCTCAAACTTTTGATTTCATTGGCATTTTCTATTTTTATCAAATCTTTAAACAAATATAACATGAGTATGCATATTTTGAAACAGTGTTGCCAGACTTGTGAAAAATCATTTTTCTGAATCAGCATACAATATTTTTTTTTGATTCAGGCTATTTTCAACTTTTTTAGTACAGTACGTCTCAAATCAACTTAATAGCCTTACACAACAAAATTTTTATGTCCAGTATTGTAGATATGATGATACAACTGCAAGTTACTAACTACATTTGTATCCTTACATCTTTAATAATTCTTTGACAATCAATGACCAATGATTTTTATTTAATGCTGTNAAAATGTATAATCATTTGGAAAAGTATTTTTTTAAAATTTTAAAATAGATTGTAAATATCTTAACTTTGAAGTAATAAATGTAGATTTTTTTATTAAAAAAATATTTTCATAAATATTTGAAGAATTTGCATAATTTTTACATCAAAAACTAATCTTATCAAATTTCAATTGAACTACTTTTAACAATCACGTGCAATATCTTTTTATTTATAAAATACTGTACTAGAAAAAGTTTTGTGCATACCAAATCTCATCCAGTTGTTTTAACATGTTAATTTTTGTTGTGTCAAATAATGACAATTATTAGATAAGATAGTATATGTGACCTTGTATTCATCCGACGGGTCGGCTCGAATTTTTCAGGAGGGTTTACTCTTTACGTGACCCATCAGTGGCCGAGTACATAACACCACTAAACACTGGTAGTTGGTCGTGGTTTTGCGCCTGGCCAAGTGGAGTTTTCCGGTTTTCTTCAGTAACTCCTAAATATGGGCCAGTTTTCTATAAGTTTTCATCGGCAGATCGCCCATGTGTAGCTTGGCCTTAATCGAATAAAACCAAACATCTTTCCGCCCTATGAGCACTAAGTGTCCTTTTCCCGTTTACGTTTGGCCCGACTCGGCGCTCCCGTTGCGAGTGATGACACCCTCTCACGAAAAATTCTTGGATGTTGGCTAGATTCCAGACCCTCAAAGTGGTAATCCTGACCCATTTAGTCACGGATTACTTTGGTATCGCCCCGTTAGGACTGAATTGGATTGATGGAAGATGATAATACAACACAACACATGGATGATTTGCCAAGAGGTAGGTATTTCCCGGAAGAACTCTGTTTAGGTGTTAGATATACTCACCTGACACTCGTTCAGTGCGTCTGGTCGAATCCCCGATGGATGTAGACCCTCTGTTCTCACAAGATGGAAACCGTTTTTGTGCGTAATACTGTATACAGTACATACATACACTGTCTAGTTGGAATAAAATGGCTTTATTGCCGTATTCAGAACCAAGATATTAAGAGTTAGAAGTTAACCAATAAGCATTCATGTACTAGAAGAAAAATGAAGTGTAATTAGTTGACTTCTATTAATCTTTTGGTTGTGAATATAGCAAGTTACAATTGAAATGTACTCCTCGCCAACGGACTGGCCAGGTGGAATTTACTGGGTTTTATTTACGTTAGAAACACTCAAATAGGGGCCAGTTTTCCGTAGAAAGTCTTTCCGGTTGGTATTTCCCTTGGCAGATTGTCCACGTGTCGCGTTGCATAACCAAATAAAAACCAAACATTGAGTTTTTTCATGCCCACAATGGAGGTCTAAAAATCATATAAACGATTATAATTAAAGATATTTAGTAATCAAGATCGCTTATATCGGTAATACTGTAACTATATTTCACAATGTAAAGGAACCTAGTATAGGCTAGAGCATTTAAATTTGGATTTAAAACTGTCTTGACGATTACTGTGAGTTCAAGGTGATCAACTGATTTCAAAGAAGAAAACTGATTGATTGCATGTAAAATCTGCAAACTTTTCTCTGAACTCTAAATTAAAACGTTTTTTTCCTCGGTATTAATTTTCAGAAATTTCTGTAGGCCTATTAAAACAAAAATTCTATTATAAGTTAGTCAGTAATTCCATGATTGAATATTACAGATTTAGTATATTTATTTATCTATTAGATTTATAATGTAATCGAAACAGGATGGATCACCTCGAAAAATTCCTGGGGTTTTTCGGCCCGTTCGGATTCTATCCCAAATCACCCAGAGTAGGCTGCACCTTTTAAGTAGCTTTCCTGCATATCAATTCACCCTTATTTTATATTTATTAGAAATGTTTTAATTCTCCGTTTTGTGAACACTAGAAACAATAAAGGTAACCCCCGTATAACGCGGCACTTCTATAGCACGGATTCACTCTGACACGGTTCGAGAAATGGATAAAACCCTCCCTCGTACAACATGAAATGTAATAAATTTTTACATACTTAAGTACTAATAGTTCACGAAAATAATAATTTTCGTGAACTATTAGTACTTCAGTGTGTAAATTTTCTTTTCTCGTCTCCATAGACATGATCCTTCGCGAAAATTGTTTCAATTTTGCCATATCTCGACGCTTCTGCTTCTGTGTTGTCGGATGTTATTCCATAAGTGCTTAGCACCATATAAGGAAATTTATAAAAGATCTTTTAACTAGAAGCAAGCAATCTAAAATTACATACACTTTTTGCAAAAGGTAAAGCATGAATCTGAAAATAATGCAGAAAAATACTCAGAGGATAACGATAACTTGCCAAAAATAAAACGCTCTCGGTTAATAGTGCTTTTAGTGATGACAAAGCAAACATTGTTTAATATATATTAATATGTATCACTTAAGAAAATTTTAATAAAGATATTTATCTTAATTATGAAAATATAGTAGCATGTTTTTTAATTTTTGGAACCTAACCCTCCTTTTCGTACCTAGCTCTTTGATTCGCATAACACTGCAATATTTTGGAACGTAACTACCGTGTTATACGGGGATATAGTGAATAGAAATTTGATGAAAATAATTTACTGCTGAAAATTAAAATATCATTTTATACACATTTTCTAATTGTTATAGTATCGATAACAAGGAAAAATTATAGCTTAAATTAGAAACTTTCGAGTGAAAATTGCCTATATCGAATTTTATCTTCACCTGTACAACAATATTTACTTGATTTTATACGAATCTATTCAATATTTTTGTAATACAATAAAACCTGTCTAAGACGGAACTTTGAATAAAACGGAAACCAGATAAAATAATCGATTTCATGGATTCCTGTTTACATAGGTTTATAGTAGAGTGATTACTTTAGGATTTCTAAGCTTAAATTTCGTTAATATTATTTTAAAATAGTTTGTCAGACCCTATCTCAATCTGAAAATATAGAGATGAAAGCAAATGATGTTAGTGAAGTTTGTCGGCGGCTTATACTATTATTAATAGAAGCAGATCCTAAAGAATAAAAGATGTATCATTATACCAAAAATCCCAGGAGACGTCTCTCAATAGGACCAATTGAGAGATGAAAGATAACTGCTTAAGGAACCGGGACGATTTTAATGGAAATGACTTGACAACGAAGAAGGTTAAGACCAAAAAAAAGCTACTCTAGTGTTTATTTTTTAAATTTCTCGAGAGCTGTATTGAATTACAAGTAAATAAATAATTAAGAAAACGAATGAAACCATTTTTAAAGCTGTAATTTAATAATAATTAAAATATTTTAGTCAGTTCTGATATGATATTTAGATAATCAATTCAAGTATAACTGAAACACTGAATATAAATTTATACAGAAAAAAAAAAAAAACGTGTTAACAACTGGAACAAATTGTTTGAAACGTCTGTGATTATATCTTTAAAAGATTCTCATTTTATCAGATATTCCGGAGGATGCTTTTATAGAACATCTGAATACATGAAGTATTTTCCTCTCATTATGCATAAGATATTTTATTCTTTTATATTTATCTTAGTCTTGTATTTTCCTATAGATAATTACATCAACATTTTAATAAATTTTATATAGGGTAAGGATAGGTAATTTGGTTATACTGGTAATATGTGATGTTTCCATAAAGAATCACTAGATTAGTATTACAGATAGCAAGTTAGGATTTGTAGTACAGATTCTGTACTACAGATGGCGGGACTTTCTACCCTTTATACTTCATTATTAAATGGGGATCTAAGCATCTATTGATGCTTATTAAAATGAAAACGAAAAGGATTTGTTCTTCAATCGTGTAACAGTGCATTGGCCTTGGCACATAGATCATTTCTGTATATATTTTGATACTTAGATCGTTTAGCTTTTCTACTCTACGATAATAAAATTGTATTGAAAACTAATTTCCTATTGTAGAATTGATAAAATAAGGTAACGAAACACATGGGTGCACTGCCAAGGGCGGGAGGAATTTCTACGGGAAAATTGCCACCTATTTAGGTATTACACAAATGAAGAAAACTCTGAAAACTCCACGCGACTAGCCCGCTGTGAAGCGTGAACCCGCGATCAGTGTTCAATTTTACACTGGTATGTATTTCTTACAGCAAAAATATTGAAACAATGAGTTAGTTTATTCAAATATGGGAGGAGGAAAGTGTTAATGTGCTACTTTTCTTATCTATTGTTAGTCTAAGCGTAAAAACTATAATTATTTTGACCTTGATACTGTATTATTATTATTAAGTTATCGTTGTACGCGTTAATATTTTATAAACATCATTAGATAACTAGAAATTATAGTTTAATACGATAATTATAGATTTGCTGTTTTTATTTTGTAATTATTTCTTATCTGAACACAAACCGACGTGATCAATGGAATAAAATAGCATAATTTGACGTTTTTAGCTCCTGTACTAGGCAAATTGTATTCGTATAAGGACTTGCCGATGGAATGTATGCCTAATTCGCTTATATGTCGCAAGTCAGAAGATATAGCCACACATTTGATGAGTTTTTGGAAAAATAGCTTTGAAAAATTATGAACTACTAGAGAACTTCAAAAAAGTAAGAATCCCTAGCTAATCTGGTGCCAGTACTTTGCTCCTGTCCCTACCATTTAATAAAGGCATTTAGTACGTCAAGTATATGTGAAATGTGTCGATTTAGCAATGAAGATTATACAGAATTCATGGAAATAAACTCACGGCACATTATTCAGTCCGTTAGTTATTAACATATAGGTTACCTTGATGAAATTTAAGGAATGTGTTCGACACAAAAACCTTAGTGTTGTGTCAAAAGGAAGTTTTTCTGTTGCATAAAAAGTTCACAGCTTATTGCTCAAGATAGTGTGAATTTCTTGAATATATTATAACTTTTCCTATTCTATCAATACTTGTGATTTGATATTTCAGGACTTTCATGTGTTCCCCAAACTGAAGAAGCAATTTGATGAAGACATCTGTAAGGAAGTCAAACGGAAAACAGCGTTAATATTTTATAGAGGAAAATCAAACGTTGACTACGTTTGTAGAATGTTAATATATCGGGTTCCATCCCTCAACACTCCTATGCCTTATTGTGGGCCTGGCCGAGTCCATGAAGGTCTTGCTTTAAAAAAAAAAAAAAAAAAAAAAGCCTTCTTCAGTACCCACACCGGAAAGATTTTTTAAAAAGTATTATTAGTTTACCCAACTTTTAAATAATAAAAATTATTGTTATTTTATTCGAATTTCGTTCAAAGCAATTATTTAGGAGAGGTATCAGGTGCCTCATCTGAATACACAAATGGCCAATCCATGGCTTGTTAGCCTAAATTAATCAATAGAAAAAATACGATTTCAACACGGACAAATGATATTTTAATCTTTTCCATTAAATTACATTCTATTTTCGGTTTTTTTTTTCAGTATTTTCAATTTAGATAAATTGTTTCTTACAAAATTCTTCTGGAGTAGTAAACACTAAAAGAACACTTAAAAGGTTAATTTAAGTCAATTTAAATCTTAAATGCTGTTTTTAAGTGCTAAATTTAAGCTATTTTTTTAAACTAATAACGAGTAATTACGGATAATAGAATGCACTTCCAGACAAAATCAAGCATACCATCGATCGATTTAAAACAGTTACATTAACATAAATTACTCTCTATTATTGTTTCTAATGGTTAAATCTTTCGAAAACGATTCTTAATCTATTTTCAATGTTTTAAAGTCTCGAAAAACAAACAAAAAAAAACATCGACTAATCAAAAATTCTTTATACTGTATTTGATTTTGAGAGGGAAAATACTAAAAAGATTGTTATATATTCGTTCAAAACACGATTATTTTCTATGTTTTTAAGTAAAATATTTTTAAAAATCTTTCCTTAAACTTACAAATAACCATTTAAAATCGATATATTTCATCTGTCTGTTGTAGAATTACGTATAACGAGTTTCGCACGAAGGAACATACTTTGTCTGTCTATAATGATCTTTGATGAGTAAAAGAATTGATAGATATAAAAATCCTCCAGAGAAAAATAAAATTCTTTTTTTTTACAGAATCGAAATCGAAATTAATGATTTTTATCTAAGAAGAAATAATCAAGAAAATTCCTTACATTATAATAAATAAATTACAGAAGAAAAATTTCACTTACTGAATTAAAAACCTGTTTGCTTGTGTTATTGAAAACCCGGGTGATAACCTTGAATGAATAATAAATAAAATACAACACGTGATCTTCTATAAGTAACACGCAAACTTTTCAAAGGATGAGTTTAAAAAATCCAAAAAAAATTTCCTCAATTCGTTTCATAATAAATTCATATAACTAAATAATAATATTAATTCAAAAAAAAATTCATAAATGGGGAATTTTAATATAAAAAAGATTCGTTAGATGAGTGGGGGGTATGCGTTTAATCACCATTAAACTTATAAAATTGTTACCAACCTTGAGCTTTTTATAATAAATAACTAATTCCGTATTCATGCCTCGTGTCATCTGTGGGAAAATCACATTTGAAATAACTATGCCGAATTAAAATGATATAAATTATGGTCGAAAATGTCAGGATGCAAGGCGAAGTTGTCCAGCCGGGTTGAGAAATTGCATAATGACTGACGTAGGGAAATTATTCCCGGGCATGTACTGTACAACATCCAGAATATTTCCAAGAAATTTCGTTGCGTGATCTTCACTCGAGTATTTAAGACTTCTCCACAGTTACTATCGGTTCATTCTATTAAAGTTTAGAAATGATCAAGTAAGTAGACCTATACACACTTTCTAAATCAACTAATTAATCTTTATTCGAGATTTATTACCTAAAAATAGGGTCAAAACCTTAATGTTAACTAAAGTTTATTTCGACTTTAAATATATACAAGTTTTGGTAGGTCATACTTGTCATCTAATTTATTTTATAAGCCTTTATAAGGTATTTTGTCCGAGATCTATTAACGAAAAGTTCACGAAAAATTAATTATTTTGTGGGTCAAGATCATGATTAATTGGTAAATATGGGACAAAAAGGGTGTATCTCTTAACTTCATGAGGTAATTCGGAAACTTTCCAATCTTAAAAATGGATGCAAATTTTTATAAATTAATGTAATTTTTTTTTTTTAGATTGGTGTTTGGAAGTGTTTGCTTTCTGGTGTTATTTTGGAAGTCAGAAAGTCAGGTGTCTCCACGAAGACTACCTCCAGTCCCTAGACCAAGTGTTGACGTACCAACTATCTCTACTGATATCATTAATGATGCAGTGGATCAAGCTTCATCTATTATATCTGGAAGAAGAGAGATAGAAAGGAATTTAGTTATTCAAGGTGATTACGTGAAGTTTTCTATTTATATTCTTTAAACACGCAAGTTTTTTGTAAGGTAACTTCAATGTAGGACAATTTAACTGGAAAGTAATTGCATAAATTGGTGAAAGACGAGCTAAACAAATAGAAAGCTCGTTTATCTCGTCTCTCTATTTTTATCTCTATCCTACAAACATATATTATATAAAAAACAAATATAAAACTAAAACATTTATGGATAATTAACAATTATAAATGTTAGAGAAAACTTTACAGTTATAAAGTGGAAAAATATATTTTATTTTAGATTTAATTAGAGCAATACAACAATAAAAAAGAAACAAACTTACAAAGCATTTAAAATGTTTTCTCTGATGATAAAGTTATTATCTGAATTACAGTATTGAATATATGAATGAATTTCAAATTATCATCTATATTTTTATTTAAAAAAATAGATAAAATATAGCTAAAAATTTAAAAACTTGTTATAACAATTTATAATGATTTTATGTTTATTTTTATTAAGATAAGTGAAAATAAAATCTTACAATATTCAAATAGTACTGTTATAATTTGAGGATTATGTTACACAAAACAGCTCTAATTTTTTCAATTGTTAAAACATTATAATTTATCCTGTTTTTTTCCTTTTCTTTTATTAAATCTGCTCATTCTTTCCTGAGAAAAATCAGATATCAAACCTTCCTTTGGTATTTAAAGGAAATACATGTATATCCTGTGACAATAAATGCGATTTTTTAAAGAAAATAATCGTTATATATTCTCCCTAATTTTATTAATTTTAAATTTTATTCTATATTTTATTCACCTGTAAAAAGATTCTCATTTATCCAAATTTAAAAGAGAAAAAAATTATTTTATGATATTTTTAAAAATTAAAAAGAAAAAAAATACTATATATTATAATTAACACGATTTTTTACTATAGGTAGAACACTTTCTGCCCGTCTGCATCCTGCTGAGAGCAGACATCAACTCTTCTTGATGACTTTTCCAAGAGCCATAACTCTCGAAGAAATCAGAGAGCAATTTGAAGAAATTACAAAAGTTCTAGCAGATCGGTAAATATATAATTTATAAATACAATAATAATATCTTTTTATCTACAATTGCTATAGGGTTTTTTTTCTCATTCAGATTCAATTTATCTCCGGACGAAATCATATTTGGCCTATCACAATTAGATCTGAGCCAAACTACTGCAAGGCCATTGGTACAACGATGCTTTAATCAATTCCAACCGCGATGTGAAAGTAGTAGATTTAGAACTTTCGATGGAAGCTGTAACAACTTAAGAAATCCTTCTTGGGGGATGAGTTTCACTTGTTTTAGAAGAATTTTACCACCACAATATGCTGACGGTTAGTGAAGATTATTACTTGTCCATACTAGATTTTTGTTCTAGTAAATCTATTTCTAAATTCCAGGTATATCTCTACCTCGTGTTTCTCAAAGTGGAAAACAGTTACCACCTCCTAGGGATATATCTCTAGCTATTCATCGCTACAGAGATCGTTCTGCTGAAGGATACACTATGATGCTCATGTCTTTTGGGCAATTTATCGATCATGATATTACATTAACACCCATCAGTAGAACTGGTTAGTTTTTTTATTTTAATTTGTTAAATCTCTGTATATTGAATATAAAAATATATTATAAAATCTTTATTTCTTTTTCCAGTTGATAATGGAATGATTCAATGTTGTCCATTGCAAAACAGTACTCACCCTCAATGTCTTCCTATCGTAACTAGAAGAGACGATCCATTCTATTCGAAATTTAATCAAAATTGCATTAATTTCGTCAGATCCGCTATGTGTCCTAATTGTGTACTTGGTAAGTTTCGTGTTAATAAAAGATTCTTAAAGAATATCGCCAATGTAGACTAATAACGCGATGCTCTAAGCTGTAATCGTTTAGTTTAAATATATTTCTTTATATTTCAGGACCTCGACAACAGACAAATGAAGTATCTTCCTTTATAGATGGTAGCCATATATATGGAACTAATTTGAATACTAGTAGAGAGCTACGAACTAACAGTGGTGATGGTAAGTCAGATCACTAACCTTATTATTGAGTGTATCTAGTATTAAAATACACTTTAATTAGGTAAACTGAGAACGGTGATGAATAGACAACATGGTGAACTTCTACCACCCAGTGCCACTCCCGATTCAGATCAGTGCAGTATACCCGAAGATAATATGCTGTGTTTTAGATCAGGTATACGTAATACCATTATGATTCGAATGGATTTATTAGATTTAGTAATGATTAAAGTGTATTTTAGGTGATCCAAGAGTGAATCAACAACCAGGATTAACCACTTTACATACAATTATGGCTAGAGAGCATAACAGAATTGCTGAAGGATTAAAAAGTATAAATCCTCGATGGTCTGGAGAAAGAATTTATCAGGAAGCAAGGTATATATATACTTTAAAACAATTTTAGATATTAATGAATGTAGGAAAAGGAAGAAGGAAAATTTCAGGAAAATAATGCATTGTGGTAAGAAATTTTATTATAAAAATTTATAGTTTTTCCTCCCCTCTCAAAGCTTGAAAAAAAACAATTAAAATTCCAAAAAACAAAATTTAAAATAGATTTTTATTTGACTTGTTTGTTTGCATACAACAATCTGTCGAGGGGGATGTTTTTCTAGAGGACTTTTATGGAAAATTGGCACCTATTTAGGTGTTACAAACGTGAAAAAAATATCTGGAAAACTCCACGTGGCCAGTCCGTTTTCGAGACTCGAATCCATCTATGTTAAGCGGTTTTTATCCGCTCGGCCACTCAGTTGAGTGTTATAGCTTCATGGGGCCCAAGCAAATTTGAATTATGGTACCCCAAGTACAATATTGGCTTCAAAAATTTTTCTTCGGGAGAATTTTTTAGGGAAATATTTTCTTATAAAAGAGTGTGGGACCCCTTTTGCCTATAGGATAACGCGCCACTGCAGCCACTGGTATGCCATATTTTTATTTGAATTTTCTATAAAAGGCTATGAGAATTAGGGTAATGTCTATTCAAAATACGATTTATTATTATTTTTAAATTAAAAAAATATATATATTTAAGTGATAAACACTATATATATATTTAAAAACTTCCTTATGTAAGAATATTTTCTAATGGGATATTTATAAAATATAAATGGAAAATAATGATAGATTCATACAACATTTATCATCGAAAATAAATATTTGTAAATGTTTTTACGATTTAGGAAAATTTTTAAAATAAACACGTTAAAAAATTTAATGATTTGAGTTCCTGGTGTAATTTTTTATGCTCTTATTTAAGAAATAACTTATTCAATGATAATTCACGGTAGATACGATATGCATTTATCTTTCATCTACAGTCGACCCCCCTATAACACTGTTGATAATTCCGTTTTATATGAATTCCATGTTGTATGAGTCACTTAGATTTTACAAACACGTGTGCCGTTCAAAGCCCAGCACACGTATTTGTAAAATCTAAGTGACTCGTATAACATGGAATTCATATAAAACGGAATTATCAACAGTGTTATAGGGGGGTCGACTGTATAATTCTCATCGATACAGTAAATAATACTAAATTTATTTAATTCTGAATTAAATACGTAGTATAAAATTGATAATTACAGTCTAAATTCTAATATACATGTATATTAATAAATAATCTCTGTGTTATCTGTGTTAAAAAGTAATTTGAAAGGAGTGCGGGTTATATGTGTATTCAGTAAACATATTGTACATGCAGGATCTCATTTAAAGCAGCTTTTATTTTATTTTTTTAAAAACTAAATCAGTTAACTGACTTTTTGGTATGTTTTACGACAGTTTTATTAGTATTTTATAAGAGAAAAGAAGTTAAAAAGACCTCATAAATGAATAACATCATTACTTTTTAATTTCAGGAAAATTGTTGGAGCCAAGTTGCAAATGGTCACATGGAACGAATATCTTCCCGCTGTTTTAGGTTCCGAATATTCAAATTTTTATAATATACCGATAACCGAGGATGGTTACACCATGTACGATCCAAGCATCAATCCAAGTTTACTACACGAATTCTCCACGGCCGCTTATAGATTTGGCCATAGCCTCATCGATACGATATTCGAAACCATTGCATCTTCAGGAAGAAAATCTTCTATTGATTTAAGAGATAATTTCTTCTTTCCTTTCGATTTATACTCCGGTTTAATAGATCCTTTGATGAGAGGAATACCAAGTCAACCAGCTCAGAAATTTGATCCGTTTATGGTACCCGATGTAACTAATTTTCTTTATAGAAGAAGAGGTAATAACACAGGCTTGGATTTAGCATCTCTCAACGTGTTAAGAGGAAGAGAACACGGTATACCGAGTTATACAGCATATCTCAGACACGCTTTCGGTGTAAGAGTGAGAAACTTCAACGATTTGAGGGTTGTTATGTCATCCAACGCTATTAAAGGATTCCAGAATGCATACGAGTAAGTAATTTAATGCTAATTTTATGTAAAAAATTCTTAGTAAAGTATTTTAGTTACTACTAAAAGAATAACGTGGATTTTAATGCTCTCTTCCCCTTTTTAACTACATCCCTGGCTCCATATTAAACGTGGCAGGTATAATGTGAGGCACACATTTACGCCAAAATACTATAAGGAAATATTCGAGACTCGTAAAAATTGTTCTAGATTTTTTTAAATATTTAGTTCTAGAGTGAGGAATTATTACTATTTACAGATTTAATTTTTTTTTCGTATTGTCATATGACAAATAGAACATTTGACAATGCTAATATTTCAAACGGAGATTTCATATGTTCCACATAAGTTACGTCAGAAGTGACGATCGATGAAGTGTAACTAGAATATTACACCGAAAGAAGGTCGTCGCCATTTTTATTTAAGATACGTAAAATATTAACGCATCAAAGTTAATTTTAGCAATTATTACGTTATAATTTCTCCATTTAAACAAGAGAAATCGAACAGGAAAAGTTACAAAAATAATAATAAATGTTTTCGCTAGATGGCAGTCTTTGTAAAATTAAACCTAGTGTATAATGAATATTATTAATTGTTCGACTTTCGAAACTAAATTTAAGAATTAAAATGATTGAAATTTACAAGTTTGTAACCGACATAAAAGAAAGCCTTCGTGTTCGACTCTCGAGTTAAATGTCCCCATTGACAAGTGGCGCGTTATAGCTTCGTGGGGCCTGGACAAATTTGAAATAGGGGGCCCCATAACAGCAGTTGAATTCAGACATTTTTCTTCGGTATCCTCGTCTATTATTAATCTCATTCATTCATTTAAAGACGTTCAAATATCTCATTAAATTAGCATACAACCACATACAAGTCGACCCTCCTAAAACACTGTTGATTATTCCGTTTTATATGAATTCCATGTTGTACGAGTCACTTAGATTTTACAAATACGTGAGCCGTTCACAGCCCGGCACACGTATTTGTAAAATCTAAGTGACTCGTATAACATGGAATTCATATAAAACGGAATAATCAACAGTGTTATAGGGGGGTCGACTTGTACTAATTTTATTTATGAATTTACGTAAACGTGAATAAACAATGGTATATTCAAATATGCTCATAAGTATACAATGCTAATTGTTATTAAAATTATATACTTATGCATATAATTACTGTTTAGCAGAAAATTTACTTTTGTGAAATTTTACGTGTGAAGAGACGTAAAATTAATTATATAATTATTATTTTATGAATCCTTTTGATTTAGTGTTTATCAAATTTCCCCCCTTAATAATTGTATGCAATTTAAATTGCCAAAATTTAAAAAGAATAGAGGTCAAAGGTCATATTTGACACACCTTATAAATGATTTAGACCTACTTTTCTTATATTTGGAATATACAAAATATTTATAACCCCCACCCACCTACGACTTACTCAAAATTTGGTTCTCCCATAAAAATCTTTGGGCACGTCCTGCAGAAGTAAAATTAAGCGCCCAACGTTGGGTTTGCTTAAGTGTTTACTGAAAGTTTGGTATTTAAATATTATATAGGGCCTATATATATATTATTTTTTTCTATTTAGATCTGTCGATGATATAGATTTATTTTCTGGAGGAACAGCTGAAACACCCGTCGATGGTGGAGTAATAGGACCGACATTTGCGACCATAATAGGTCTCCAGTTTAACAAATTAAAATTCGGCGATAGATACTTTTTCACACACGGTGGACAAACCGGTTCTTTTACACGTCGTAAGAAAAATTTTTTTAAATATATAAGACTACAATCTATAAATATAGGTTTATATTTCTTGTAACTTATAATCATCTATAACATCATTAACTGCTATAGATGATTATAATGATTATATACGTGATTATAATGTATATATAATGTTATAGAACAATTACAAGAAATCCGCAAAACGACTCTAGCAAAAATTATATGCAGTAACACCCAAGTTGATGACATACAAGAAAATGTCTTCCTTTTCCCTTCATTCAGGTGAGATTAAAACACAAAAATATAAATAAATAAGTGGAAAATACAAGTTTTTCTTTTAAACTTTAACGAATTTTATATATTAATATTCATAACTAAATTCTATTTTTATCATTTATCGGCGTATAATGCGCATCCCCATTAAAAGGCATTAAAAAAATTATATATATATACCCAATCGACCCCCCTATAACACTGTTGATAATTCTGTTTTATATGAATTCCATGTTGTACGAATCACTTATATTTTACAAATACATGAGCCGTTCATGTATTTGTAAAATATAAGTGACTCGTACAACATGGAATTCATATAAAACGGAATTATCAACAGTGTTATAGGGGGGTCGACTGTATATATTGACGGGCATACAGTATTTTATGGAAGAAAAGTGCATTTTATACTCCGATAAATACAGTAGTATTAAAGTATTAAACACTAAGAGTTAACCTATTTGCTTCCTCATTCTGTAAACTATACAAATTGTTTAAACATTAAACTATGTATAAAAAAAAATTAACTACTTTAATGGTTTTTAAGTACTTCTATCCGTCGAATAATTGTTTAAAATACAGTTTTCCTTTGTAAATATTGTTCGAGCGTAGTGATTTTGTATCATTAAGTATATTATAGTGTTATTAATCTATCGATAATATATTGTTCCGGTAATTTAAACCGGAAAATTAGCTTGTTCCTGTATATTATCTGTATAAAATATTCAAGAAGAAATGCTTTCAAAAGTAGCTTTTAACTCCTTCATTAAGATAAGATAAACTTTCAAGTAACGTTATAAACCATGTGCTACTGTAATTATGTTCGTTATTATTATTTTTTTTAAATAATTACCTTTCCAATGCCATTTACTACAAATATATATATTTTTCCTTATAGTAACCCTGTGTTGCCCTGTCGAAATTTACCAGAAATTGATCTAGAAGCATGGAAAGATTAATCGGAATATCCATAATGTTCCAGTTTCAAAGTATGGTAATTAACCAGAAACATTAAAGAAAACTTTAATAATAAAGTTTATATGAATAAAAATCGGAAAAAAAGAAGGGAAGGATCATAATTTGCACAAAATTCTGTACATTTTTTATTATTCGAGCGTGAAAATTGAGCAATTGAGTGAAGATGATCTAATAATTTCTTTTTTCCCCTTCTGTTTTTTTTAAGTGTGTGTGTGATACAAAAAAAATTCTACTTAATTTTAATTAGTTTATGTATAAATTTGAGGGTTTTTTATGCAAAAACCCAACGAAATATAAACATCTTCCTGATACAACATGATATCAACAAAACTTTACAGAATTAAATAAATTATAAAGCGTGAAAAACTTGTTATCTCTTGTCCATAAAACAGAACAAATTTACAATAAAATTAAACAATTTTTTAACAATTATTATTATTATTATGAAGCGAATCACTCAATCTATTAATTATACCATTAAAAATTCTTCGATAAATATAATTAAATGTTCATAAAATAACGCTTTTTCTTGAGAAGAAATCTTCTAATAAATCAATTATAATTGTAAGACTTAAAAAATACAATTTATTTATATAAAAATATTTAAAAAATGGTGTTTTTAAATGAAATTTTTCCTCTATAAATTCTTCTTTTTTTCTCTAGTTATAACACGTAATATTGTATTGTCAATGAAACTTTATATTTGAATCAGCAGCAGACGGTATAAGGTCGGTATTGTCACGTTTGTAAATAGAATATCAGATCATAAACTTGTGCCAAGTTGTCTTTTATAATTTTATTTTTTTTCGTTTCTTTTTCCTCCATCTTATTAACTGTACTGTAAATTACGTACTGGCATTGTATGAGGGCGGAACCTTTTGTGAATGGTACGGCCAAGGTGAAAGGAGTTACTGTAGAATAGGTCACCTTACAACCTTACTTACACACACCCATTCCTCACTAGGAGTAACGTAACTTACTTAGGAATTGGGACTGTAAAGTTCATAAAACTTACTGAAAGATAATACAGATAGACAAATTAGACTAAAATGATAATCCTATGGGTGGATAAGGATCAGAAATTACCCTTAGTGGGTTGATAAAACATACCAACCTTCGCAATTTGCAATCGTTAATAATAGTTGCATTAATCACATGAATGGATATTGTAACTATGACTAAGCAATCTGGTAGAATGGAAGGGGGGAATTTTTATCAATATAATCAAAAAATCAAGGCTAAGACTGTTCTAAAATCCCTCTTATTAAGATGATAATGTATACTTCGATCGTTGACTTTCTTTAAATATTATAATTAAGCGCTATATTAATAGATGAAGTTTTATACTCTCTGTTCTAGATTTTTAAGAAGCATCATCCTTAAACCTTTAAAAAAAAAAGCCTTTAAAATCGAATTTTCAAAGCGTTATTACAGAGGTTGCAACCTCGCTATTCTCACTTAACTCGTCGTAATAGCATCAATGCCTTCATTGTCGAGACGTGAATGACTTTATTATGCACGAAGAAAACGTAAGCATTATCATACATTATGATAAATCACCTGTTAAAGTGACGACCATGGTGCAAATTTCTCTTTACCACGCTTTAAGAAAGATAGCAATCTCAGTAACCGACGATTCGCTTTACGAACCACCATTAATCATAAGTGAGAAAAGTATTAATTTAAATAATAAATTGTTTCTATGTAAATTATAACGGTACGTTTGATTAAACTTTACAGAGGGAAAGAGGGAGAGAGAGAGAGAGAGAGAGAAAGTGCTTATTAATAATAAAAAGAAAGAAATCAAATATCACTGCGTGACGAACTCAAAGGACGTTTCGTTATCAAACTGGTACCGAATAAAATAGGATATCTGATAAATAATTATTTTTTATTACTCCGTTTCGACATATACAAACTACATATCTATTAAAACCTACACCTAAGTGTACTGTACTTTATGGCTGATTTTACCCTAAATGAGAGTTAGGTGTATTTCCATGTACTCGTTTCTCTTACTTTTTTCCTATTGTTTTCTTATTTAGGGAGTTTCCTTTTTCTATTTTGTGGGGCTCCAAAGGATTTTAACTTCCTGTAACACATTATTTACTTTTTTATTAAAGTTTTAAAGTGATTTATACTTTAGTAAGCGTGTGTCGCGTGATGTTACTTCGGATCGTTCAACCAAATAACTTGTAAGAATTTGTTAAGAAAAAGTCAAAAAAGAAATTTAGATAATAATAGTTACGCACCATAAATAACGGATTTGTTAATCCTTTCTATTCAGGATTCATTTATTTAATAGGATTATCCGAGTTATTATGTAAATATGAAAATTAGTAGGACTAGATCAATCGATAATCTAATTTATTTTTCTTTTTTTAAACCAGATAAAATAGATATTGTTCTTTCAAATAGCTAGTTTCGTTTTTCTTTTTTTAAGATAACGTAATTTAACCAATTTTCTTAGTAAAGATTGGGTTTAATCGGCCAAATAAATCCTACTTTTATGTTTTTAGGACATTTTAACCTTATCAACAATAGAAATATTCCTTATAAAAACTTTCTCCTCGATAATTTTTACGTAAGATAATCGAAAAATAAAGTTAATTTATCAAAGTATCATATACCTCAATTACCGAAATATTCAGATCACTAACATTAAAAGATTATAGAGTATTAGGACCCTCGGGCTTTTGACCTCTATATTATTGTATGGATACATCAAAAAGTAATCGAACGTTGAGTATAGACTTATAAGGTTAAGAAGAATGAAAATGTATGTTATTTTTCACTAAAGTTATTGTTTATTTTGTTTATATTACGCTTAGTTTATGGATCAAATCTAAAGGCAAATGTCTTTAGGCCATTCTTCTATGGCTTCCAGCAGTGAGACCACCTAAAGAGTTTCAGGAAACTTACTTTACGCCATTTTGAATCTAATCCAGAACAATTTTAAACTTCAAATAATTTGCATTCGTCAAAATCAGACGAGAACCGAGTGTTTAAATAATAAGAAGAATAAGAAATCATCTATTTATAAATATAGTAACAGAGTTTACGCTCGAATGATAACTTTATCTGGGTCGTTTATAAAATTCTATGAACTTAAAACATGTGTAATACTCATAAGAGCTTATAGTGATTCACAGTAATGCTAACCTCATTCTAATACGTTAAAAACATACTTGGAAAGATACTGTTTTTAAAAGAATGTTAGCTTAACAGATTACACTTGGTGTATTTTGCTAGGACATGGAGGAAAAAGCGCTTTTACACTGAACTTATCCTGTTGTGACAATATTATCGTGCCAAGACGTGTTATCCCTGTTATTATTAGAAGGTGTGTCTAGATGTTCGGTTTATGATTCCGATAATTTCTTCAGTTTTTTAAGATATTAAGAAAAAAAAAAACAACACATATCAACAATTTCGAACAAACTGGAGATGAGTACAGGGTTATTCTTGTGATTTTTAATACGAATTATCTTCGTTTATAAACTATAGAACTACTCGTATATTCGATCTCATTTTAATCTGATATTTCCTTTAAAATTGTTATGAATATAAAATATATTTTAAAGGAAAAATTTTTAATTTAAATTATTTTCTTTTTATTTTCTTAAAAGCTACCATTTTAATGAGCAAAACTAGTTTCTGTTTGAATTAGTGCGAATTAAAGGAAGAAAAATATAATTCCTAAAGCACAAAAAAAAAACTATAAAATCACTTTCCAAGAAACAATTATATTATCAAATACAGTAGACACCCCTATAACACTGTTGATAATTCCGTTTTATACGAATTCCACGTTGTACGAGTCACTTAGATTTTACAAATACGTGTGCCGGGCTGTGAACGGCTCACGTATTTGTAAAATCTAAGTGACTCGTACAACATGGAATTCATATAAAACGGAATTATCAACAGTGTTATAGGGGTGTCTACTGTAATATAATGGATCCAGTATAGCTTAATGGGGCCTAGTCAGATTTGAATTAGGGAGCCTCACGTAAAGTGTTTACTTCAATCATTTATCTTTGAGGGAATTATTTTCTTATTAAAGATTAATTTGGGTCCCCTACTTAGTAGGGAATTGTCCTTTTTGCCTATAGGATAACGCGCTACTGAAGGGATCTATTTCAAAACCCCCATACATGATTAACGAAGCGAATTCCACTTTCGTCATGTCCTTGTTGATTTTTTTTTAAATATTTTTTTCTAAATTATCCTTTTATTTTAACAGAAAAAAGAAATAGAGTAATTCTTATTAAATCTATACGAATAACAATAGCCAGGGAATACTTTATTTCTATAAAATTCATCGGTTCAAAACCTAGCAACCTATAGACCTTGAGAACAGTTCAATATACGTTAAAGGATAAATCGGGTCATCGGCAAAACTTTACAAATCATTATATGTTAGTGAAGCATCAAATCTTAAAATGACACATTGGTGATGCTCTAATAAATTATGTTCGGGTGAGATTTTTCTAACTTTTACAATCCTTTCAATCTTCTTGCTTTAGAACTTATTCAAAATCAATAATTCTTGTGTATTCAGTAACTCGCTATGGGCAAAAAAAAAGGGGTGAAATTCCCAATTAATGGGGGACCCCAAACCTATCACTCACTATAAGTCAACACTATAAGTGAGGCCCTGTAAATTCAAATTCGCTTGGGCCCCATGCAGCTATAACACGTCGATGTATGTATTAATTAGTGAGTCGCGTGTTAAATTTCTATTGTTATGCAAATTATATTTTTTTCAAACACTGATAAATTTTGATTTATCGGGTCAACTTTTTACACTTTTTACCTTTAACTCGACGACAAGTTTCTTTTATATTTATTAATTTATTTAAAGAGAAAACAGTTCCAAGAGGTGCGAAAGTAAACACGTTTTGTTTCTCATGGCTGTGGGTGCTATAAAACTTGTTTACGGTTTGCAAGAGAAAAAACAGCATTTAATATCTATCTACCGTTACTAGTACAATAAAATACAGCTGTTAATTTAGAAAATAAAAATATAGGCCTATATATAACTATTTATGTGATGTTTAAATATTCTCATATTTTTGCATATTCGTGAATCATTGTTATGATATTTCTAAAGTAAATATACAAAATAATCTATAAGAAAATCACTCTAATGACTTCTTAAAGCTTGTAAGACGATTTGGTATTCGGACCCCCTTTATATTTGGACACCAAAATTTAGGATTTTATGAAAAAAAAAAAAACATCATACAAAGTGATGTAAGTTAAAGTTCTTTCGATAAGGGATGGAAATTCATATATATATATGTAGGCCCTTTAATGGGTCCTCGCGTATAGTGTTGTCATCAGACATTTTTCTCCGGGGGAATGTCTTATAAAAGATTGTTTGGGGCCTCAGCAATTGCCCTTTTTGCTCATAGGAGCCACTGAAC